CCCCAAAACCCCAAAACCCCATATGAAGCTGATCATCATATTTCTAGTACTCATAATTTTTAATGTATCGACACAATTAATCTAAATTAAGAATGCTCATGGAATTTAATTCATTTACTACTTTATTTTGATAGAGTTGCTTTGACTGGATCAAAATAGGGATGCTTCATCGCATCTTTAGGTGTGATTCTCTAATTTTTATCATAAACAAGCATTCTCTTGAGCAAGTCTAGGCCTAGCTCAGTAACAACAGATTTATTGTTTTTATTGATAAATTCTTCAAACTCCACTTTGGGATAATTTTTAAGTACCTTAGTGATTTGTTATGGTATGTTCAGCTTATACTTTCTTACATATTCTCTTAAGTCCTCAGTACCCATTACCTTAGCAATCTTTATAAGCTAATCGTAATTATCGCTACCTTTGAAAAATGGATCGACTCTAAGCATCATTGTTGCCATTGTACAGCCTAGTGACCATATATCCAAAGAATAATGATAAAGTTTGTCTTCAACTAAAAGCTCAGGGCCTTTGTAATATCGGGAAGCAACGCGCACATTATATTCTTATCCTGCATGATAAAAATCAGCCAGTCCCCAATCTATTAATCTCAAATCCTATGTCTCATGATTAATCACAATGTTCAAGGGCTTAACATCTCTGTGCATTATACCTTGTTAATGACTGTAGTCTAGTGCTTCTAATAATTTGTAAAGATAAATTCGAATATCCGTATCAGTCAGTTTTTGAAACAGTATTTTGCTCTCAATGTTTGGAATGTATTCATATATCAGCGAGGGAGTCTTTGAACTCGGATCCTTAGTCACATCGTATAGCTTGACGATGTTTGGACCCCCAAATAACGTTTGCAATATCTTGATTTCTCTGAATATCTTTTCTGTTCTCACTGGCTTTAAAATCTTAACAACACATTTCTAATTGTTTAAAAGACATGCACCTTCATATACCTCTGAGTATTTGCCTCTTCCAAGTTTATGAATAAGCTAATAGTTATCCTGATTCCCCCATTTTATACTTAACTGCTAATAGTAAGAATAGTCCTTAGGTCTCTCTACATTGACTGTTTAATAAAGAGTTTCCCAAGGGGAATTCAAAGAATCATAATTTTCCATTGATAATTCTAATAGAATTTTAAATTTAATTATCAATTTAATTATCTCCTCCTTATTTAGTAAGCATTGTATTCTTCGGGGTTTTGGGGTTTTGGGGTTTTGGGG